TATTAACTATGATCTGAAAAACTGCAAACAATTAGTAAGGTGAGACACAGAGAGTCATTTGTCCAAGGTTAAGGAAGAAATCTGTGGCACAGTAAGGACGTCCTATTAGATTTCTTGCCTCTCCATCCCGTTCCTTAAAACCATTCTTCTAACAGATTGATGGCAATTAGTCTCCATGGAACCACGACACCATTTAATGAATCATACAACAGGAAAAGCCTGTCTCTGAAAAAAAGTCTTTCCTGTTTCAGTAGTGTATTTGTAATTCACAGTGACAGGAGAAGACCGGAAAAAGTGACATTTCTCCTGAGTGGGTTGATTAATTAACATAGATTGCCTGAATTCAATCCAAGAAATCTATGCCAAGGAGGAATCCTGTACTGCCTTTCCTAAATGAGCTTGGAGCAGTCCCTCAAACACATTATATCTTAACAACACAGAAGGAAATCACGTAGCCAGGTATGAAATTGGCCTTTCTGAGCAACAGAAACATCCTTGATGCAGATCATGGGCCAAAGGACAGAAATAGTGTTTACCAACTCAGGAAATGAGAATGAGGAGAACATACAATATAAAGATTATCAAAACTAAGAATAGTTGTTTTGTCTGGAAGAGGTGTTTTACATGATTTCTACAGTATATTGTTTCCTGTTTAATGAGAGATGATCTCAAAGTGTAGGCTTATATCCAAATCCCCAATTCGCTAAGGCTTAGAAGGGGTCAGAAATGAGGTTTATTTCACAGAGATTCCTGATAGTTAATAAATTCTACATAGGTTGGTTTGTTAGGGACAGCTGAATGCATTGTGTTTTGTCCTTAAAAAAAAAATCGTATTAGAAACATGCTTTTGACTATGAAAAACAACTGGCAGCTTTCAAAAGTCAACATTAGACTCTAGATAATGCAGGAGCTGGGAATACTATTTTTTGTTTCCTAAACCATATAAAATAGACAACAATGGAAAAGGTTTGGGCAAGCTTGCATTGCATCCATTAGCTTTTTCTGCATAATCAGTATGGGTTGATATCCATTATGCTCCACACTGAAACTCAGAGTAAATTACTCAGTGGCTCCAAGAAACGCACACGCTGCCGCTCTTCGGAAAAGTCCATTACTCCTGGGCAAAGTAGTTCAAGACTAACCCAGACGCTAAAGCTTCTTGAAATATTGTTCCTTTACTTAACTATATTGTCTCCGTGCCATCCAGCATCATCTGCAATCTGTCACTCTATAAAACATTTTTCCCCTATCATTTTTTGCCCTCAAAAGTACTTTCTGTACTCTACATTTTGCATCTTATTAAGCTATGTCGTTTGTCCTCCAGATCTCTACAGAAAGGGCTAAGCACAACAAAGCTGAGTGAGGAGATACCAAGATGAATCACAGAATAAGAACATAATCCAAGTTGGAAAGGACGTCAGGAGGTCTCCAGCCCAAGCTCTTGCTCAAAACAGGGTCAGGTCTGAGGTCAGAACAGGTTGTTCATGGCTTTAGTTGTTTCTTGAAAACCTCCAAGAACAGAGAATGCACAAGTTCTGTGGACAACCTGCTCCACTGCCTGGCCGTCATCATGATGAAAAAGACTTTCCTGATATCCAGCCTGAATCTCTCGTCTCTCATCCTCCCATGAGGAGGATGTTGTGAAGAGCCTGGCTCTTAAAGTTGATAACCTCCTTGTAGGTGCTGGAGGGCTGCTGACACGGCTCCCCGAGGTGCCCTCTCCCCAGGCTGTACCAGCCCACCTTCCTCAGCCTCTCCAGGTGAGGTGCTCCAGCTCCTGATCATCTTCAGAGCCCCATCCTGAACTAAAGATGATTAAGCTGACATCAGATATAGAGCCAGAAGAGATTCACAAGTACATCCCTGCAATCAGACACAGCAGTTCTGCAAACAATGAGTGCAGTACAGTGCCAGGCCTTTGGGACTCCAGAGAGGATCTCTCACAGTACTGCACCTTCTGCATATATGATGCCAAGCATATGTCTATGTATATGACTATTCAGCTCTAGAATAACTTCATGATATGAACCTACTGAATGGTATATGTGAAACATTATCCTAATGAAATCACTTAACTACCACAGAACCACATTTTTCTTTAAAATGGTCTTACAATCTTTCATACAGTCACTCTTACTCAGACATGATAAACTCCCTTTTTCACATCCGTTCTTGAATCTAAGATACCTTGCAAACAGTAACAGCAGTGTATATGTGCAAAGATATTTTTCAATGAATACTTGAAACAAGACATCAGAATACAAGGTCTATATCTCTCATACCATCAATACACATTTTGAGAAGAAAAGTGAATAGAAATATTTTTTTATAATGTGGCTTCTTCCACTCCAGTTCCACCAGTATCTTACAGTGGTATCGTTATCAACACATATTATATCTCAGGTGTGGAATTATAAAAAAAGACAAGGGGGAAAGCACTGACTAGGTGTGGAAAGAACCAAATACAATAACGATATCAAAAGGTATTTAAGCAAAGGAGGGGTATGAATTACCAAGTCCAATATTAAAAATGTAGCCTACATTAAAGTCAACAGCAAAATCCCTCAGAATTTCAAGATGCAAGATTTACAAGTGAGGATTCATATCCACATGTGAACCCACTCTCAAACAGGGGGCATGCCTGGAGAAGGACTGCTCCAAACCAGTATGCCAGACACAGAGGCCAGCCACGATATTCGGAGCTGAAATCTGCCAGCATGCTCTCACTCAGTAAGTGTATGTGACTGCACTCACAACTTTACTTGGCAGCACGTTTGACCTGTCAAGAGCCTCAAGCATTATGTCCAGTGCAATTACTAAAAGACACACTAAAATCTGACTTGTATGGTTAAGAAGTAACAGTCACTCATTTTTATTTTGAGACCAGAGTCTCCCCAGTCTCTTTAAGGAGTTTCAACATTCACACTAACATCTTTATTAAGCAACTTTGAGCCAGAAACTGAGAGCTTAGTAAAGTTGTTCTCTACCACATAAAATATACACAATCATAATCACATTGAAAAAAAAAAAAAGTTGTTATTATTTTAAATAGTCATTGAGAAACAGTTTATCTGGAGGTCTCCTCCACACACTCTTCCCCGTACTCTTCAGAGATACCATTGACCAGGACAATTCCAAGGTACTTCCATTACCTACAATCAACAGTGGCCAAACTCACTTATGCACTTTAATTCTGGGACAGAGTAATGCACTGTCTTTCCAGTGATATCAATAGGTCCATTCTGCTCATGTTGAATGAGTGTCCTTCATCCTTCCCTCCCCTGTCTCTCCCCTCCTTATCCTCCCATGCCAGGAAAGGAAGGAATTCTCCTTTTCCTGCTCAAATATCCAATAATCATTTCAGCCATCTGCTTCAATACAAGAAACTCTTCATAGAAGCCCATCTAAATGGCAAACCATTAGAGATTAAGATGATTTATTTTAGTTTAGCGCAGTGTCACTGGTTTAATAAAATAAAAAATAACTAAGGATTTGGGAAGTACTATGGCTTACCTATGTAAAAACTCACTCTCTTGACAATACATTCTATCGCTGCTGACAGACATGAGAACATTCCTTTCATCTCCCTCCTCTTCTTGCAGTTTAACCTATCCCCTTAAGGAGTATTTGCTTTCTCTAAGATAGATTATACATTGTATGCAACGTGAAAACCTTACGCACTTTTCTCTACCATCTGCAAGGCTTTTCTGCCCACTTGTTTAAAAAGAATTAAACCAAAACCCTTATTAGTCTTTTCATTTTGGATAAATAAACCAGGATTACTTTTCTGTTCAAAACTAAAACAAAAGGATTACTATTTCCAGATACGTGCCTCTAAATGAGAGAAGCATTTTTGAATAAAATCAACCCAATATCCAAGTCTAGTGAGACCAAATGTGGAATGCAAACTGTGATAAAGAGCAAATATGAAGCATACACATACACACACACAAAACACCCCCTCTATTCATGAAGAAAACATGATCTAATATGGGATTGATTTCTTTCAAATAATTCTTTCTGCATCCCAGTGTGATTCCAGGATGTGCAAATTAAGATAAATTTTATGGGTCAAATTCTTCTTACCACTACATGTGCTCAAGTCAACTGAAATTGATGACAACTGGATGCTGTGTCAGAGGATGGAATTTGGCACAGAAAATCACAATGTAAGGAGAAGATGTTATAAAAATAAAAATGACATGGTGCCTTGAATGAGGGAGGAAACAATGTCTCAATGTGGCCTGGGAGAGAGCACAGCATAAAGAAGCAGAAAAAGTTGACCCAATAGCTAGTAGATTATCAGATAAGGCTCATTTGTCAAAACAGAGCCAACAGTGAGGAAGTGAATGAGAATTTTCATAATGGCTCTAGATAAACTGCACCCTATTCCAAAACCAAGCCTAATGGAAGAAAAGCTACACCAGCTCCAAGTCCTGATCCACTTAGAGCTTAAAAGAGGAGAGGCTAGTTTATTACTTCTGTATTCTTTGGAAATCCAAATTAGTTATTTAAGACTTCATCATTCCAGAGATTCATGTCTAATCTCATTAAACAAAATAGCGTGATGAAACTTTCAGTATGAACTTCCCTCCTTTTTATTTTTTCTTTTTTTTTTTTTTTAATTTTAGGGAAATGTCTCTAAAAGAAGTCTATGTAACTTGCAAAACAGACCTAAATCAAAAACAGATTCACATATCCATATAGATGATTTAACAGTAATACTACTAGCAGTGGGAGCTTGCAAATATTATCAAATCCATGTTCATGTTTTACGACAACTGACCGATGAAAACCAGAAGCTATTATGACACTGATTTTAACCCATTTTTCTGCTACCATAATGAATATAAGCACAAATGTCTTCCTGGTTAAACTTTTTTTCATTTGAGTGAAATGTGAAGATGTGTCATGTCCTCAGCTGAGTTCCAGAACTACTCAGGATGTCACGTAGCATTTCATTTCAAGCTCCATTTAGAAAAAAGAATTAAACATCTAACCTGGAACAGCTATCCTCCCAGCTGTCGGATGATTCATTTCCATCACAAGTCCATTGTGAAGCACCTAGAAAAAAAACCCAAACATGTATGTAATAAGAAAAATATAATCAGTTGCTAAACTCAAGAGAAAACGAGAGATAAGCATTATCACGTTCTTTCACAGAAAATCTGAAAAGACAGGGAGCTGCAATTCAAGTAATTTTTTTAATCTGTAAAATGAAAGCCCTGATGTTTGACACTACTCCCTATTTTATGCATCTACATACATGCTTCAGTAGGACTTTAGAAGTCTAAAATATCTTTAAACTCTTATATCTAACATCAAACACAAAAAACTGAGCTGCAAGCAGGTCACGCTTCCACCCACCAAATGAAAACTAGTACCAACATGGAATGAGAATTAAAACCTTCACCCAATTTCACTTTCAATCTGCAATATATATTGAAGGCCTATACCCAGCTTATGCTCTAATGGGTTTTTTTCCTCTGTTACTCAGTTGCTTTTGAGCTTGTGATCGATCACACCATGAAATGCTGTCTTAGTAGTTCTTACAAACATTCAGGGAAGATGCCATAATTTGGATGTTATTTCTGTTCCCCCAAGCGGCATGCTATGCTTCAGCTCTGTGTATACCTGTATGGGATGATTATTCATCAAAATTTCCAGCTTCTTGTTATTAACCTCAACCACAAAACAATGTACGATATCAAAATGGACAAGTAACAGAGAAAAAGAAATTCATAACAGCAAACTCACTGCTGTTGTTAATAGAAATCTGCATCTAAAGCCAATAAGTAATCTTTAACATTTCCTTGCCTATTGTTCTGCCATCCATCCAACACTGTTGCCTTAATTACGCAGAATTCTTAAAAATTATTTATCTTGTTATTGAAATATCCTCTACAAATAAAAAGTCTCCCATTAATCAACTATTTTCATATCCATTGTAACAACAAACCTGAAATAGAGTGCCTTGCTAAATGCATCAGCTATAGAAATGAAACATGGGCAAAGACTGTTAAGTGATCATGTAATACATCCACTTATTCACCTTGCACTGTGAACACCACTAGCAACCTTGACAATCATAGAATTATAGCATGCTCTGGGTTAGAAGGGACCTTTAGAGGTCATCTGGCCCAAACCCCCTGCAGTGAGCAGGGAGATCTTCAAATAGACCAGGCTGCTCAGAGCCCCGTCCAACCTGACCTTGAATGTTTCCAGGGATGGGCCCTCCACTACCTCTCTGGGCAACCCGTTCCAGGGTTTCACCACCCTTATGGTAAAAAATTTCTTCCTTTTAGCTAGTCTAAATCTACCCTCCCTTAGTTTAAAGCCATTACTCCTTGTCCTATCAACTAATGACAGGTGTTCGTCTAATTATTCTTGAAAATTTCCAGTTAACAAGATGACAATTTTCTTATGTAGTCTGCACTATATTCTCCACTTCTATTGTTAGAAATTTTTCTCCTAATACATAATCTAAATATCTTTGCTTAGTATGAAAAATCTTTATTCATATCTTTTCCCCAACTGGACACAGAACACCAATGACTAGCATCTCTATAACATTCTTCTACATACTGGAAGATTGTAATCACATCCTCCCTCAGACTGCTCTTTTCTAGACTAAACAAAACTAATTCCTTTAGCCATTCTTTCCAGGTCAAATTTTGTGAACTTTTTATCTGTGTAGAGTAGCATGCTTAAGAAATTCCCATTCCTGAACAGGTGGTGTCAAAAGGTCAGGTCAGCTTTCTCTTAGCTTGTGGGGTGAGCCTATTTAGCTGACATTTAAAAATCCAGATATTTCCGATAATAGACACTGGTGGGAGAATGTCTGTTCACTGGTCTAATTGTTTGGCACAGTACCAAATCATTAGTTCTGTTTCTCTTTTGGAAGGATAACGCCAGTTTTGGTAGACATTCAAGTGAGACAATCAGAATTTATTTCCAAACGACAGAACTGGAAAATATAATTGCTTGTTTTAACTCATAGTTAGAATCTTTCCAGTTATGCTGTTAATCAAACAGTATTGAAAGTTTGGCTTCTTTTCTCCATAACTTACTTACTTGGGCTTCTTTATGCATTTAATTGATTATTAGTGACCTAAAAGCAAGAAAACATGCTTATTTGAACTTGAATCAACTGCACACTTGATGCATAAGCACTTCTTTAGACAGCAAATCAAAGGCCATACCTAAAAGTGGTACCATTTGGTTAAAGCAAAATATAGAGACTCTCTAGCAGCTACTTGGTACCATTTGGTTGAAGAAAAACATACAGATTCTCTAGCAGCTACTCAGGGCTCCACAAAATTCATGCTTGCCTTGTACTCCAAGTCTCTAAATTCTTATTCTGATAAGGCACAATTATATTACTTTTAAAATATTTCCTTTTGTTAGACTCAAATTCCATCTCCCTTTACTTTACAGAATGAACTAACAGAAAACTTGCCGTATCTTTAAGGATCACCAGTCTAACTTCTACTCCCTTTTAAAAGCATTGCTTAAGATGCAGCCCAGCTTCCTTTCCATTTTCATGAGAAGCACGGTGTTGATTTTCCCTCTTTGATACATTATTTTCTCGAAAACACTGCAATTGTCATTACCCTTACTACTCTTATTTTCTACAGTTATTAAGCCTATATTGGTATACTCAGCTCCATCTTTTCATTTGAAGAAAACAAGCCCCAAGCAATGAATCCGGTCAAAGACTGGGGTTTTTTCTCACATCAGCAACACTGTTTAAAAGAACTGTGTAATTTCCTGTTTCATGTGTTTCACTATTAGGATTCCCAAAAAGAACTTGAAAAAACAACTTCACTGACTTCTCCTTATGTGCATTCTGAAAACTACGAAGGAAACATGTAAGATTACTGCATCCTGGCCTTTGGGAGAATGCAATGTTCACATCCATCCACAAGACAAGGAAAGTCTGAGGACAAAGTAAGAGACAGAATCTGAAGGCCTTCTCCTCCATTGTCTTGTACCACTCAAATGGTCATGATCTCTCTGATGTGGCAGAATCCTCTATTCCCTTTGTATTCACCTTAGCTCAGCATGAGGACCTCATGAATCAAGAGAATTGTGTAAAAGAAAGGAGGTTGTAGTGAGACTGGTATTGGTCTCTTCTCCTAAGTAACTAAGTAACAGGATGAGAGGCAAAGGCCTCAAGTTGCGTCAGGGAAGGTTTAGATCGGATATTAGGAAAAATTTCTTTACTGAAAGAGTTATCAAGTATTGGAGCAGGCTGCCCGGGGAGGTGGTTGAGTCCCCATCCCTGGAGGTGTTCAAAAAACGTGTAGATATGGCACTTCAGGTCATGGTTTAGTAGGCATGGTGGTGATGGACTGATGGTTGGACTTGATGATCTTAGAGGTCTTTTCCAGCCGTAATGATTCTATGATTCTAAGATGACAGCCATCTGTAGATCTATTTTTTCATTTATTTTTTCCTTCTGGAAAGTTTTTTTTTCCTTATTTTCCAGGCTAGAAATACTCTATTACTATATTAGCTGTTACCATATGAGATTTTGTGAACCAAATTAATGTTTGAGTGGCATTTTACACTGATTATAATGAGATCATTGTAAGGGAATCAGAAGCACAGTCTTTCAGTAATAAACTTTTCATGCCACTTCATTTTATTCCAAATACAGTCATCTTCTAGATTAAAGAAGGAACCTCTCTTGTCTCTCTACTGGTTAATGAAAAGAAAACCTGATGTCACCACTTCGTAATCTTATCTCAACGATAGTATTAGTGGTGTCCTGTTATTTGTGACATGTTCATGCAGAATTTTTTTTTTCTGCTCATAAATGTATAAGTCTTTCCTCCTGACACTTAGAACTGCAAAGGCAAAGTCTCTGTATTGCAAGAAAGAAAAAATTAGACAACATGAAATAGCAAAAAACTCTCTGCATTCTACTGAAGTCTGTAACAGAGATAGGGCTGCTTTGATTTCTGCTATCTGCTATAATTCCTGCATCAACCTTCACTACATAATCATTTTGTTCAAAAATTTGTGTTTTCTTGCAGCCTGAATGTGAAAAGTTATATAGATATTCTATATACAATGCAGAATATATGTAATTCTCTATCATTAGTTGCTACTATTCTACTTTGGGATTATTTATTGTATATGCAGACGGTATCAGATATACCCATGTTACAAAAAGATGTTTGCTGATGGATTAGAACAACATAAGTCACTATATTTTAAATTTATTTATCCAATATAGGTTATTACCTGACTTGCAAACTACAGCAAATAGAACAATTCATATGATTATGTCTCCTAACTCCAGAGAATGAAAGAATTTAGTTTAAAAATTATTTCAATATTTTTTCCCAATACTATATGCAATGTAGTCCACATAGAATCTTTTAAGCAAAGATCTTAACATTTTACTCGTGCAATGCAAACGAAAGGTAATTTAATATATTTCATCATATATATTCTCAGTTGTTTCATCATTTCCTCTTGGCTTGTCAGGAGAAAAACTATAGAGGATACTTGCATCAGCTGCTATGAAGCTCACAATAATTCAGATATAATGACTTCAACTATTAATTTTTCTCTTTTCCCTAACGTTGTTAATAACTGCAAGTTAAAAAGTGGTTAAAATTTTTATAACAGGTGGAGTTAAAATCCCTCAGCCATCTGCTTTCACAAAGAGAATCAAATATTAACTGCAGTTATTTCTTGTTTTCTTACCTTGTTCAAAACAATTCTTCAACCGATGCTACTTTTGTGCGTTAATATTTATATCACCATTGGGCATGTTCACTTTAATATTGTAATTTTTCTTTCAATATTTGAGTCTCTTTTGAGTCTCACTTAAAGTTCAGTGATATATATGAAAGAAAATGAGAATAAAATGAACTTCAAAAGGAATATAACTATGATATAAAAGTAGAATATGGCTGCAGCAAGAATTTTAAATCTCATCTTCATGTAAAAGACTTGCATGAAAATCTAGATTCATACAGGGGATTTATCTTTGACCGCTTGGGAATTAAGACTCCTTCTTTAGCAGATCATACGGTGCACAGAATGGT